AGAGAGAGAGTGAAAAGAGAAAAACGAGAAAGGGAGAGAGTCTAGAGCACGCATGTGCAGTCTGTTGTCGTTCCATACACCCACGTAGTCCTTTCCTCCGCAGCAGCAGCAGCAGCAGTAGCGAGGAACTACGCAACTAGAACCTAGCCCTCTAGATAAGCTGCCTCCGTCCCCCACACATGTCCACAGCCACGGCCACAGTCCGGTATACACGTACACACACTATACAGCAGTAGTAGTGCGTCCTGTTTGATGCTAGTCCGAGCATCTTCCCTCTGCCTCCCTCCCTCCCCCACCAATGCTTCCTCCCTCCCCCACCAATGCTCCCTCTTTCCCCAGCAATGCTTCCTCCCCTCCCCCACCAATGCTCCCCGCTCCCTCCCCACCATGCTCCCTCTCCCCCACAGATACTCCCTCCCTCCCCGACCAATTCGTCCGCTCCTCCCCTGACACCAATGCTCCCTCCTCCCCAGCAGATGCCTCTCCTCCGCCCCAGCAATGCTCTCCTCCTCCACAATGCTCCCTCCCTCTCCACCTAATGGTCCCTCCCTCCCCCACCAATGGTCCCTCCCTCCTCCACTCCCAATGATCGCAGCAGCTACGAGAGAGAGAGAGAGAGAGAGGCTGGGAGCTGATGGAGTCTGGCTTCCCTGCTGCATCGCGCATCCGCCGCGGTCCCATCACAATTTCGCAAAACGATAGTTTGCCCATTTCCGGCGTCCTTGTCCTTCCGTGCTACGTGGCGCGTGCACGCACTCCCACACGTACGCTTAGCTAGCTATGGTAGCGTTGTTGTAGCAGCAGCTGGAGGCTGTGCGCTTTTCCCATATGTAGGCCTATAAGCATCGTGCGCGCTTGTTTACTTCGCGTATATTGGCGACAACTTGCCATACGATTACCGTAATCATAACAACCATAAGAGCGATAAAACTAAATTAAAAACAAAGAAAAATATAAGAAAGTTAGAAAAACAAAGAAAACAAACTATATATAGTATAAACAACCTATAAAATATAACTCAAAAAATATATGACTAAAAAAAAAAATATATATAATGAAAGTAAGAATAATATCGCAGCAAGCGTCATACAGATAGGCTCTACATGACCCAGCTATCGGTGTTACCACGGTGATTAAAAACAACATGGTGTCTACTCAACTATCGTTGTCTCCATGGCGATAGAGGCGCCGATACTCACATAACAACATGTCGCCCCCTCAACTATCGTTCCCATGCAAAACAAAATGGCCACCTGCTCACAAAACAATACGACGCCCATTCACCACTCGCCGTTGCCAGTGGTGAATACAAAACAAAATGGCCTCCTGCTCACAAAACAAAATGGCGCCCACTCACCAATCGTCGCCACCATGGTGATGCAAAACAACATGGCGGCGCGCACGCACACTCACCTATCGTCGTCACCACGGCGACGCAAAACAACATGGCGGCGCGCACGCACACTCACCTATCGTCGTTACCACGGTGATGCAAAACAACATGGCTGCGCACACGCACACTCACCTATCGTCGTTACCACGGTGATGCAAAACAACATGGCGCCTATGAACGTCCACTGCGTGTGTTCCATGTTCACATCGAATCCCTGTCCGGTCATGAACACCGCGAGCTTCCCCTGAAACTCCTTCAGCTTTTCCTCGACCAGCGCCTCCCAGTTGTCGTCGTGCGCGCTCGCCAGACGCAACTGCTGCACGATCTTCGTCGCGACGCCGACGCGGATGTCGTGCACGGCCATCTTGCGTCGTCGCTCCTCGTCCTCCTCGAGCGCCATGAAAGCGAAGGCGCCCATAACGCAGTAGCCCGTGACGAGGCCGACGAGGCCGACGTTGGAGAAGAGAAAGGCGATCACCTTGAGCGTGTAGTCCTTGCAGCGCTGCCGACGCGATGCGTACGAACTCGCGTCGCTGTCGGCCGTCCCCGGCCGCGCCGCCTCGACGCCCTCGTTGTCCATCGTTGCCGACAACCGCGGCGACGTCGTCGTCGCTTTGTCGACGTGTCAGCTCAGCGACGTCGTCCTCGCCATGCCGACACGTGGCGGCGACGCTGGCGCACTCTCGCGGCGATCTCTCGCTATCGGTTAAGTTATTCTTTCGGTTCGTTCGGTCGGCTGTCGTCGTCGGTAACGTCGCGTCGCTATGGTGACGGCGATGGCGACGCTGTGTTGTCAGTCGTTGCTATGACGATGACGGTACCCGCTGCTCACATGGAAACCCGCGCAGACGCCTGCTGCGTTAACGACTAGGTCACGCATACGTTATAACGGATCCTCTATTGCACCTCCACGTGACGTCACACGTCGCAACGCCGACGACGAATTCCTGGTCGAACTGGTGAAACGGTCGTCCGCCGACGTCACGCCGTCGGCGCGCAGCTGCCGACGACCCGATGACTCATCACACACAGCCGACGGACTACACGGTCGTCTGCTATAGTCTCCGACTGCTCTCTCGTCTGCTGCAGTGCGCGCGTCCGTGTGTGACGACGGGGCCGGGTGGCAACTTTGTGTTGTGAGTCGGTGATGTGGTGAAGTGGGGAAGCCACTGCCGTGTCTGAATGCGCGGGATGCTGCTGCTGCTGCTGCTGCTGCTGCTGGTGCTGCTGCTGGTGCTGATAATGATGCTGCTTCTGCTGATGATGATGACGATGTTGTCGCTGCTGCTGTTGCCACTTAGCGTGGGTATTTCACGCTATGATTTCAGCTGCGGCTGCTGTTGACGTTGATGATGTCGACACTAGCGCCGCACACGCGACAATCAGCTGATCTCCATCTGGCCTGTATGCTGCAGCATCACACAGCACCGCTACTGCTGTCACAGATAGACACCTCACGGCTGCGAGAGAGAAGATAGATAGATAGAAGGGAGAGAGGTGGAGAGCTTGAAAGAAAGAGAGAGAGAGAGAGAGAGAAAGAGAGCGAGAGAGAGAGAGAGAGAGAGAGAGAGAGAGAAGAGAGAGAGAGAGAGAGAGAGAGAGAGAGAGAGAGAGAGAGAGCAGCGAAACTGTTGATAGCTGAATCACTCGTATACAACGACACCGTCAATATACTAGCAAGATATAACGGGACAGCGGCGGGCGCCTGTGTACTCACAGCAGCTAATATCCTCCTCCTTCTTCTAATAGAAGATCACACACACACCTCCCGCCTGCAATAGTACCCACTCACAGCAACTAATATTTTCCTCCTTCTTCTAATAGATGATCACACACACACCTCCCGCCTGCAATAGTACCCACTCACAGTTCTGCGTGTGCTCTCTCTTCCTCTTGGGTCTAATAGATGATCACACACCTCCCGCCTGCAATAGTAACCACTCACAGCAGCTGTCCCTTCCTCCTTCCTCTAACCAGCGAGATTAGACAGATTCGATTCCATTAGAGAGATCAGATTCTTTTCTCTAACCTCCTGCCGGCAATAGCTAGTGTCTCCTCTGTTGCTCACTCAGGAGAGCGCACCGCCACCTCCTATCTGTTATGACCTGGTAGATATATCGACTTATGTATAACCCTTATGATAGACCGGCACAAACACCGGCTCTCTCTGTGTATTAGTCCCGCATACGTCACAGCTGATCACATCTCACACGTCCGCCACCAGCGCCAGCGGCCAGGCGGAGTCAGGACATCTCCGCTGCTGCTGCTGCTGCTGATGATGATGATGATGCTCCTGGTGTTGCTGCTGCTGCTGCTGCTGCTGCTGTTGAAGATCCTGTCGCTGCTGCTGCTGCTTTTGTCGCTGCTACTGAAACAACTGAAGCCGCCTCTGTTGCTACTGCTTCTCACGACGTGAAGCATCCTCCTCAGCCTCCGCATCCGCACAACACAGTCCAGCTTCGCGGGCGCTCTGTGCTGGCCTGCTGCCGAGCCTGCGTGTCCGAGGGACAGGCGTGCGGCGCGCGCTGCGGCCGTCGACCCGGTCTGCTCGGTCACGTGATGTCCTTCGCCCCGCCGCCGCCGCCGACGATGAGGATGACGGCGACGATGACGACGACGATGACGACGACGATGACGATGACAATACCGATGACGATGACGGCGACGATGACGACGGCACGCTACTTCACACGGTAGATGACACAGTTGCGACACACGTTAGTACAGAGTAGATGATGTCACACAGATATAGACATATATGTTAGTATATGTGACACATATGACACCATTGGTCACACGCTAGCTGCAGCGGACGCGCATGAGCGGTGGGTGAGGGGAGGCATCATTGATTGACAAGTTCCTCCTTCCGCAGCGTTCGATACAAGCTTCCTTTCCTAAAGTTTCTTCTCGTACACCTTCTCCTTCCACAATTTCCTTCCCCTACAGGATTCTCTCTTACAGCTCTCCCTCCTATGGGTCCCTAAGATCTAACAGCTTCCCCCGTACAGTTTCCTCCTCCACGGCTTTCTTCGTTACAGCTTTCTCTCCGCAGAGGGCGTCCTCTAGCCGTCGTTAAGACGCCGGCGTTGCCATGGGTACCGCCTGCTTTCCTAGCAACACAATGTACCCGTGCGAATCACACGCAGAAGTTAGAGAAATCGTCGCTAACAACAGAAAGCTCGTAGCCGAAGCGCGAGGAAGTATCGGCGTCTGTCTAAAGTCTAGACTCTCGCGTTATATACGCTTGCCGGCGCGCAGTTAGACTGCCGCTCACGTTTGTCGTTCGTTTCTGCTAATGTCATAGCTCGAGAGCGAGAGAGAACGAGAGAGAGAAATAGAGAGAGAGAAAGATAGAGAGCGAGCAGACGCCGTGTATACGCACGGACGGGACGCCGCAGGAGTTACTACTGCGACCGACGATGTGTAGAAACGCGCGCGCACGCAGACGCGTGCCGCCGCGTGACGTCACGCGCGCTAACGGTTGTGATTGGCGGGGACTGTGGGGCTGCCGCGTGCGTGAGAGAGCAGCGCCGGCGATACCTATGAAGTGACAGACAGACAGAGAGAGAGAGAGGAGGGGGAGAGAGAGAGAGAGAGAGAGAGAGAGAGACGGTGTTGCTGCGTGTTGCCGACTGCGCTGTCTGGTTTTGATCTCGGTCTGCTGCTGTCTGCTGCTGCAACTGGCTGATTGTGTTGTGTTGATGCTGCGGCGGCTGTATGCCGCTGCTCTCCTCCTTGCAAGTGCAACGCCGCTGCAACCTGCGTTGTCAACTGTGGCAAGTCCATAATATATTAAAATATCTATTATGATACTGATATATCTAATATATACTATATATAATATTATGATATCATAATGTATTATACGTAGTGATATTAATAACCGCGAGGCAGCTTCACGTCGCCGCTCGCGAAATCGCGCAGTCAATCCCCGCGATCACAGACGATGCACCGATGTGGCGGCAGCGCGCCATTGCGCGGTGACCCCCGGTGACCTCGCGCCGCCTTCGGCACCGTAGCACGAACAGTCGGTTGTTAATTGGCGAGAAAACGTTAACTGTAATAACAACTGAAGAACGAACGCAAGTCGGCGCTGAGCTGATCCGGGTAGACACTGCGCACCTACGTCATGTTCAGACACGTCCTTGTGCCCTCTCGTGATAACTCCCCCCCCCCCCGTACTACAGGACCCCCCCCTCTCACTCCGCCTAGTAAACTTCCGTCACGTATACTTATAGTGCTTTAGGGTTCCCACTCGTGCGTTGTTGCGCACACCTGATTGGGTTCGCCGGCAGATTCATTGCTTCTTTAGAAAGGTGGTTCCACCCCACTACCCCCCGGCTGGGTACGTTAGAGGGAAGAGATGGGAAAGGAGAGAGAGGAGGAGGGAGAGCGGGGGGAGACAGACGAGACGAGGACAGAGAGAGAGGCGGAGAGAGAGAGAGCGAGAGAGAGAGAGAGAGAGAGAGAGGACGAGAGAGAGACGACAGGCGAGAGAGAGACAAGAAAGACGGCGGAGGACGAGAGAGAAGCGCATTCTAGGTCACTGCGCTCTTTCCTTTTCTCTCTTTTCTCTTTCTGTCTCTTTCTCTTCGCTGAGTGTGTCTGCCACTCTCTCTCTCTCTCATCTCCTCTCTCTCTCCTCGTCTCTCACTCGTCTCTTTCTGCTCTCGCTTCTCTCATCTCCTCTCTCCATCTCTCCTCTCGTCTCTCCTCATCGATATCATACCTCTCCTGTCCATCCCGTTCTCCTCTTCTCTCTCTCTCGCTCGTATCCTCTCTCTCTCCTCACTGTCTCTTCTCTTCTCTCTCTCTCTCTTTCTCCCCCTCTCTCTCTCCCCGCTTCTCTCTCTCTCTCTCCTCTGCTTTTCTCTCCCTCATCATCATCTGTGTCGTCTCTCTCCCTTTCTCTCTCTTTCGCTACTCATCTCCTCTCTC